TTGAGTTGTTGGCCAGGGTGGCCCAAGAGACTTCCAGACAGTAGTCCAGCATAGAACTTGGAAAATGGGCACCAGACCCCAATCTAAAGGAATATTGACAACTGATTGCTGCTAGATGAGGAACAGCTGGTCTTCCTAAAATAAGGCTCTCTAGATAGGCTGACTAGATTCAGTGGATGGACAAGCACTGGGGAATGACTGAGGGCGCCAACAACACAGTGGACAGTAACAGGGTTGACAGAGTATATAGGCTCCAGTGGTGGCGGAGGAGGCTATGGGAAGTTATAGATGAATAAGATTGTTTGGGATGTTCTGTATGATATACACACAAAACATCAACAAATAAAAAATGAACTATATTTGTGGAGGAAGAATAAAAACTTACTTCATGTTAATTAGTAGAGGTGATAAATATTACCATTGAAATCTACCTGACGACTTTATATCCATATTCAGTTGCCAAGAATCCGAGTGTAACCGACTGTGAGTAGTAATAATCAGATACATAGAGATTAGAGATGCATGTGCAAACATCTGTTATTAGCATTAAAAATGAGTCTTTCTATAGGTATATTTAAAATGAAATGGGGATCTTTTTTAAAGGTTAAAAACTCATTAAATTTTATGTCTTACAGGTTTTATATTGAGTTCAATACTGTATAACTGTATTAATTCAACTGTGAACCTAAAAATTTATAGCCACTATTGAAAGAGATGAATCTTTGCTCTGGAAATTGTTATTGAATATATTAAAGCTGCAATGAAATGCTTCTTCTAATTATGTGGTTATTAAATAAATAAATAAATACTTTATTTTTATTTGATGTGTGAGTGTATTGCCTGCATGTGTGTATGTGTACCCATGTCTTTCAATGCACATAGAGGTCAGATGAGGGTGTCAGAACCCCTAGAACTGGAGTTACAGATGGTTGCTAGATGCCATGTGGGTACTGAGAATTGAACCCAGGTCTTCTGCAGGAGCAGTCAATGCTCTCAACTGCTGAGGTAGCTCTTCAGCCTTATTATTATTTTATTATTATTATTTGCTTAAGCTTTTGAAGACAGAAGCTATTTCAAATGTGTATTTGATCCCTATTTTTTACCATAATATCGGAACAAAATAAAGGAAGGGAGGGGGGTAGAAGAAAGAAAATGAAAAAGGGAAGGGGGAGGATGATGTGGAGAGGAAGCAAGAGAAAGAAAGGAACAAGACAGGGAGGATAGGAGGAAGAGAGGGAGGGAGGCTGAGAGGACCAGAGAAAGGGGAAGGAGGAAGGAATGGAGAAATGGAGGAAGGAAGGGAGGGAGACACGCAGGCAGGCTGTGAGAGGAAGAAGTGATGCAGATGGGAGGAGAAGTGATATAGGTGTGAGGGAGAGGGATGTGGGGGGAGGAGGGATGTAGAGGGAGGAGGAGTGGTGGAGGAAGGGGGAAGAGGGATTGGGGAGGAGGGATGTGGGAAGGAGGCAGAGGAAATGTAGAGGGCGGAAGAGGGATGCAGGGGGGAGGGATGCAGAGGAGGGAAGAGGAGTGATGTAGGAAGGAGGAAGAGGGATGTAGAAGGAAGGAGGAAGGATGTAGGTCGGAGGGAGAGGGATGCAGGGAAGGAAGCAGCTCACTCTCTCTGTGGATCAGCTGTCATACATTTATTCCAGACAGGTCCCACTCAGCAGAGGCACATTTAGATCAAAAATGCCATGCTTATTTACAAACAGCAGAATCACCACTGCTGGGATCCAAGTGGAGCTGGCAACTAGGAACCCGAGGCACACAGCTGCAGGTTGTCCTTCCTCACAGGACTACAAAACCACAGGAAAGCTGACTCTGGCCTTCCTCTCTTGCTCCTCTGCAGCCCACTAGGACTGGCATTTCCCTCTGATAACCTCTGCTTACTCCCCATGTTTCACAGAGACTGGAGAAAATTCCCTTGGCTTCTGTTGGTTTGCCAGGAATGGAGGAACTTAAAAAGGAAACTTGTACTTTTGAACTAGTACAGTCCGGGGCAAAAGGAGAGCTACGTTTCCCGGACTTTGAGGGATTCTGGAACTAGAGACTGCAGAGGCCCTCACTCACTGTTTCACTGGTGAACTGGGCTGTGTCTTATCACCAGGGTGCACCAGGAGAGGTGCCAGGAGAGGAGGAAGGAAGTCACCTGTCCTTAGCTGATTCTGTCTCAGTGTAGGCTACTATACCAAGGTGCCAGGGACTAGCTAAAGCAACAAACATGTATTTCCCATAATTCTGGAGATAGGAAGTGTGAGACCAGAGTTGTCATGTCTTGGCTAAAGCTTCTTGTCACATCATGCACTGATGTTTATCTTTTCTGCTCACATGGTGCAGACAGAGCCAGCAGACTGCTTTTGAACCTTTTTGTAAGAAGGGGCTTTTCAAGCATGCTGGAGATGGAAAGTCAGCCTAGTGGGCAGCAACCTAGGGGAACTTAGAAACTTCCTGATCCCATTCATGAAGGTTCCACTCTTCCAAGCCCATCACCTCCCTGTGGCTACACCTCTTAATACCATCATATGGGAAGATTACATCAATTAGGGGGACACATTCAGTCCATAGCACACTGATTAGAAGAAAACTGAGGGCTAGGGAGATGGCTCAGTTGGTTAAGGCTTTGTAAGCACAAGTACTGGGTTTGATCTCTAGAAGCCTCATAAAAAACCAGGCATAGTGGTGCACCTGTAATCTCAGCCCTGGATAGTTAGAGACAGGAGAATTGGGAGGGAGACATTGCTAGCCTAGTCTATTTGACAAGTTTCAAGTCAGTGAGAGACCCTCTCTCTAAAAAACAAGGTAGATGGCTCCTGAGGAACAACACTGGAGGTGTCCTGTGTTACACACACACACCCCAGAGGTTACACTCAACATGGCACTTTGTTGCTTTTATCCTTTCTTTAGTTAATAATCTATTAAACGTAATGGTGGTGCACACCTTTAGTTCCAGCACTTGGGAGGCAGAGGCAGGCGGATCTCTGTGAGTTCAAGGCCAGCCTGGCCCACATAGTGAGTTCCAGGACAGCTGGGGCTACAGGGAGACCCTGTCTCAAAAAAACCAAAAAAAAAAAAAAAAGTAAGGTATTTAATTTAGGCTATTATTGATAACCATGCATGGAGGAAACTACAAAATAAGGGTTCAATGAATGAACTGTCATTTAGTGAAAATACCATTTAGCTATCACCTAATAAGTAGTTTTTGACGGATAAAGGACCTCCATATAGCTGGGTGTGGTGGTGCATGCCTGTAATCCCAGCACTCTGGAGGCTGAGGTGGGACGATCTGAAGTCTGAGATCAGCCTGGGCTGCAGCAAGATTCTGCCTCAAAGGGAGAGAATGAGAGAGAGAGGGAGAAGATATCCATCTACCGAGGGATTTTCTTTCTGTTCCTCAAGACACTGATTCCTTCATCTGGATTCTATGTTCTTGAGCTGCTGAAACTGATGCCAAAATTCCATGCAGATCATCAAAAGAAAATAACTAGCTTCCAGTGAGCCTCACAACTCCAGACTGCTTGTCAGTGATGGAAAATATTACAGCATATTTAAAATTAATATTTTTGATGGAAGAGACAACTACATACATGTTTTTCTTCCTGTGTTAGAGCCTCCCATGCATTTACCTTGCTATATCAGTCATTCTGACTTCAATTTGCATGCAGGTGCAAGATGGGGATGGCACAGTGCCCACTGGGATAAGTAATATACCGTTATAATAATATAGTATTAGGAATGGTGCAGAAATGATGGCAACAGCTGCAGCATATAGATCTTTTTAGGTGATTTCTCTTTAAACAGTAGGAAACTGAGCTGTAAGATTCCCTGCTGAAGGGAGTCCAGGAGATTCACGTGTGTGCACAAGCCAATTAAGGCAAGCACTGGTGGAAATGGCTTTCTTTGAGAGGTCGGAATGGGATGGATCACAAATCCCACTGCACCTGTGGTAGACTGAAAGGGTCTACAGGTACACCTGGCCCAGGGCCACTGCTACTTCTTTTGTTGGTGGACACACTTCACATGGCTGAGACGGGAATCTGCTTGTTTTCTGCAGGAGAGCCTGCCGGTGGGTGTGGGTTGGGTGACACTTGGGTTTGGAGGTATGAAAGGAAGGTGGTCTTCCTATGCACAGCTGGCCTGCACCAGTGAGCAGCAACCTCGCAGACATTAACAACTTCCTGAAAAGAGGTATTGATTCTTAGGCCCCAAACCAGTTGCTCCTGTCGAATAGTATATGAGAGGCCACTGTTTTAGACCTAACTACTGTTTAGCCTCTAGCAGTCCAGAACAGACCAGGATGGAATCAGTCACTAATAGTGGGGGGATGGTCATCAAAGTGAGCTCTGAAACAGGCCATTTTCCGACCAAAGCAGGAGAGTCCAGTCCAACAGACATCCCATTTCAACAATGGAAGGGGAAGGACTTCACAGTAAGAAGTCCCTTTTCTTCTTGTTTCTGCTCTGCTCAGGCCCTTCTGCCTGTCAGGTGAGTTCACCTGACACTCGTTCCATTTCCAGGTTGCTGTAAAATCTAAATCCAGCCTTTAAAACTGGACCTCGTGCCCCTTTGTTCTGAGGAACTCATCTGTGGAGGTGGAGGCCGGGATCAGGGCAAGGTTAATTCTCCCTAGCTGACTGCTGTACGGCGATGTCTGGGTCCACTGTACAAGCAGTCGGAATCTCAGCAAGGCAAGCTCCTTCGAAGAAGGTCCGTGGCCCTCACAGCTACAGAGGTGCTGACCTGCAGCCTGGGGGCATCTCAGCTCTTGCGGGGAATCCCAGGGGCAAAACCCAGTCAGCAGCAACGATTAGGGACCTGAGGTTCCCATGCATGCATCCTTGCAGACACTCCACACGAGCCCGGCGCCCAAGCAGAAGCATAAGGTACCCTGACCTAGGCACCCCTCTCCAGCCTTATGGAGACAGCGACAGCAGACTTGCACCGGAAGGAAAGAATGCGCATGCGCAGAGGACATGTAGGCTGTGAAAGCGCAGCCGCAGGGCGGGGCTTTTCCAATCTCCGGGGGCCCGGTCTGTAGCGTAAGTGGCGGGGCCTGACCGCCCACTGGGATCCTGAACGCGCTACGGGCGTGATCCCCACGCACATGGCACGGCACGTGTTCCTCACCGGGCCGCCAGGTGACGGCAGGGGCTGCGGACAGGAGCGGGAGGGAGGGAAGGCCGAGATTTCCGCGCCGCTTGGGGCTCAAACTGCAGCGACCGTCGGTGTCTGCGGCCTTGGGCTCCGCTCTGCGGACGTGGGCGGACAGAGGCTGGGAGGAGCAGGGCGGCCGGGGGCGGTGTGCACCGCGCGCTGGAAACGTGACCTGTGCGTCCCACATTTGAAATCGGGGTGCAGCTGGATCCCTAGTGTCTTAGTGGGGTTCCCCTGGTGGGTTCCACCTTGTTGCACACAGGTCTCACAGCCGTTTGCCAGCTGCCCCTACGCCTACCGTCCTCCAGCCCCGGTGTTCCTACTGCGGGTAGTGTGCAAATTTCATTCGCTCCGCCACTCGTGCCTCAGGCCTCGGCCTCGACACGAGGCTGATGGGAACCGAGCCTTGGAGGCGGGGTCCCCTGTCCTTTTCGTGTTATGCAAACATAACATTGCTTAGTTTACTTTTTATCACCAATTTTGCCCCAAACTTTTCCGGCTTTCCAAGTCCGCTCCACCCGTTCAGACCTTCCAGGATAAGGGGCTTTGGAAAGAAAGAACCTTTGTCCTCCGTGCTGCCCTCTGAGCAACTTCCGGCACTGGTGTCAGCATGTGTAAGTCACGTTAGGATTCTGGAGCCCAGGCTGCCTAAGCCAACCAGTTCTTGCCCTGTCCCCACATTAGACTTTACCCCACAATAGGGGACGGTGAGTGGATGAACTCCCCCTTCCTCTCCTCTTGGATAACTGAGCCACCTTGCATCCCAAACGATTCCCTAGGGTTCCCCAGTGGGATTCAGTGCTGCCACAGTGGTGACTTGCTCCAGAAAGCAGTTCTATTGCTTGCCCCTTCCTGCCCACCCCTCAGTTTCACCTCCTCTACTGTCTTTCCTTCTCCTTTCCTTTTTGACTTTGTACTTCCCCACCAGTGTGTCCTGTGGTCCCTTCCAAGGTCAGTGCCTGCTCTTGAACCTTTGAGGATCTCCTTAAGGAAGAACGAGAGCCACACTCACTCTGTGTGACAAGCAGCTGTCACCTTGCTGTTTCCTTCAGCCTAGCATCATTTATCTTTGAGACAGCGTCTCTCTGTAGCCCCAGCTGGCCTGGAACTCGGTATGTAGAGGAGACTGGCCTCAATCTCACAGATATCTGCCTGCCTCTGCCTCTCAACTGCTGGAGTTAAAGGTGTGCACCACCATGCACTATCCTAGGTCATACTTAACCAGTGCACACAGCTCAGGGCTACCAGAGAAGAAAAACTGAGCTGATGAGAATTCTAGACCTAAAAAAGCAAACGGGGGTCTCACCCACATGCTTCCTGTTTATTCCTTTACTGTGCTCTGTATAACGTACAAGTCTTAACATAGGCTTGTTAGGTTGTGTTATGTTTTCAAAATATAAATACACATTGTGTGTGTGTGTGTGTACATGTGGAGGTCAGGGGACAACTTAAATGAGTCATTTCTCTCCTTCCATCATGTGTGTCCTGGGTCTGGAACTCTGGTCCTCAGGCTTGGTGACAGGTGCCTTTACCCAATGAGCCATCTTGGTAGTCATTGTGTGTGCCCCACCCCCATAGAATAAGAGTGCTCGCTGCTTAGCATAAGAACAAAAATGAAGGGTTAAGGAAGAAAGTGGCAGTCTCGTGAATCTTCACAGAAATGAGCATAGGCATCTGTGTTCAGTTTTGTTCTCAACGTCATCTTCTATACACACATTCTTTGCCTTAAAGAAATCCCTTGCTGGTATGGTGACATAACTTTAATTCCAGCACTTGGGAGGCAGAGGGCAGGTGGATCTCTGTGAGTTCAAGGCCAGCCTGATCTACGTAGTGCATTCCAGTCCAGTCAGGGCTACATAATAAGACCCTGTCAAAATAACGAGGACAACAACAAAAAACCCTTAATGATAAGCTATGTATTTCTATTTATTATTCAACCTGCTTTTTTACTTTGTATTACTTTCTTCCACACTAATTAATGTCAGTGAACAGTGTTCCTTTTAGTGGTCGTATGACCATTCTTTGTGTTTTTCTACTGTTATGTGTAGGTGCCGTAGCTAACATTCCTTCACTGGTCAACACGATATTTAGACTGTTTTCAGTGTTACGCTGCTATGAAGAAGCCCACGGTGAACATCCAGGTTCACACATCTTTGAGTCTCAGAGTTGTGGAGGTTTAATGAGCCCTTCAGGAAAGGAGTCCAGCTCATACAGTCAGCAGTTAACAGATCCCCCAGTTCCCTACCCAGTGGAGGGTTAGAACTTGGTGAAGTTATCTTGCCAGCACGGGATCGCTGTGGCTGGCTGGATCCCTACTGTGCTGCGCCCGCCACCCCAGGCCATTATTTTGGAGTAAAGTGGTGGAGAGATACATTAAATGAACATAATAAATCACCTTTTTTTTTTTTTTTCTCTGTAGTAGGGACTGAATCTACAGCTTCAAGGATGCTGGGTGAATGCTCTGTCACAGAGCTGTGTCCCCAGCTCAGGAATTGCCTTTTAAGGAATCTTGACCCTGAGAATAGCCAATGAGATTGTATGATATATGATTTGGGACCCTGTAGTATCTGAAGCGTTTAGCTACAGGTTTGCTAGCACCTTCCCTGTCTTGATTGCCAGGACTTGGCTTGCAAAGTATGTGCCCATAGCGTTTGATGTTGTGTTCTTGTGTGGGGCAGTGGCTCTGGGAGCTGGAGTTTGGATTCCTTAGAGTAGTTGGCAGCCAAGCTGCAAAGGGAAGGGATGTGGAGCCGAGGTGTCTGGACTCCAATTTGGGACTGGTTGGGGTCAAAAGGAAGGGCTGTTTAGGACTGTGACAACACCTGAGAGAAGCAACTTCAGGGGAGAAAGAGTTCTATTGGCTTATGGTTCAGTTCAGGGGACAGAGTCCAGCACGGTGGTGAAGGCCTGCAACAGGAGCAGCTTGGTCCCTGGCAGTAGGAGCTGGTGGCCCTCCTGGTTCTCAGGGTGCTGACCAGGAAGTGGAAAGCCTGGGCTGGAAACCCAGAGGCCTAGACCCCTCAGACCCCCACCCTATGACCCACCCTTGCCAGCCAAGCTTTCTCCTTCAGAGGCACAACCTCCCAAAACAGCACCACCAGCTGGGACCCAATGGATCAGGCACCCGAGCCTGTGGGAGAACATTTTAGATTTAAACCAGAACAGGAACATAAATCTAGGAGGAAAGGAAGCCAGATTCCAGGTGCATACTACACTTAAGGACAAGCAGTATTATCCTAGGACTGTGCTAAAAATATACTTCAAGTCACCATTCCATTGTCACTGTGCTTGTATCTACTGGAAATGGAAAATTCTTGGCACCTGACAAATTCAGAATTACAGTGCAGTTAATAGCCGCAAAGCATTGCAGCCTGCCATGCTCCCTGGCTAGTGCTCTCATGAGGTTGGAAATGCTGGGTGGGCGCTGCAAGGTAAGACTTCCTGACAAGTCTCTTCTCTTTGTCTTTTTCAGGAGTTGGAAAAACAACCTTAATCCAGAAGGCAAGCGAGATCCTGCAGTCTTCCGGGGTGCCTGTGGATGGGTTTTACACCCAAGAAGTCAGGCAGGGAGGGAGGAGGATAGGATTCGATGTGGTCACCCTGTCTGGAGCTCGGGGGCCTCTGTCCAGAGTCGGGTACCAGTGTCTTGTTTCTCTAGCATCTTGCAGTCCACATCTTGGGAGCATTTCTGCTCGTGTGCCTGTGCGTGCGTGCATGCCTGTGTGTGTGTGTGTGTGTTGTGTGATGTATGCACATGTGTGTGCAGGGACTAGAAGAGGATGTCAAATGCTATGCTCTTATCACTTTGTACTTAAGACCCTTAAGACAGGGTCTCTCTCTCTCTGAACCTGGAGGTGGTGGTCATAGACCCCAGCGATTCTTTTGCCAGTGTCCCTACAACACTGGGGTTACAAGTGCACACAGCCACGCCCAACTTTTTACATGGGTGCTGGGGATTTGAACTCAGATTCTCATGGTTGCACAGCAAGTGCTCTTACCCACTGAGCTATCTCCCCAGCCCTGGAGCTTTTCTACTCTGATTCTACCAGAGCCGATAGCTTCAGAGGCTTTCTGTGGGGCCCAGCCATGCTGCTCTGCCCACCCCTGGCCTGAGAGTACGTAGGCTCAGGAGAGCCAGGTAACCTGTATCTCAGACCTTCAGACATTTCTTAGGAAGGAAAACAACATCCTGTGAAACATGAGGGGACAAAAGTCCTGTTACACTTAAAACTTAGGTCCTGGAATCGGATGCTTTTCATACTTTGTAATCCTTTGCATCTGGTTCCATATTTAATTACTTACTTATAGTGGTACTGGGATTGAACTTCTGGCCTCACACATGCTAGGAAAGTGCTCCCCTATTCCTGTTTTTAGTTATTTTGAGATAGAGTCTTACTGAATTGCCCAGTCTGGCCTTGAAGTCACTCTGCCTGAGGCTGGTCTTGAACTTTGGATCCTCTTGCTTCAGCTTCCCAAGAAGCCAGGATGACAGGGTTTTGAACAAGGCTCTGCTCCTGCGCCACTTTTCATGTTGCTGGTGCATTGGCTCCTTGGTAGCTGCAGGGCCACTGTCATACTGTAAGACTCTGCTGTCATGGTCCCACTGTGAGGCCCATACATGGCACTCCTGACACTCAGTGTGGCTCTGTTACAAGTGGGCCTAGCCTTGTGTACTACCACCTTTTTGTGGGGGTGTTTGCTGAGAGAAACGGTGTGTGCAGAGAGCCAGCAGCTCAGTGGAGCAGAAATCAGCTCAGTCATTTGTTGACCACAGCATCTTTTCTTTCAGGTCACAGCCTCTGCCTGGAAAGCCTGAGTGCCGAGTAGGGCAGTACGTGGTGAACCTGGCTTCTTTTGAGCAGTTGGCACTGCCTGTCCTAAAGAATGTGAGTATGCATTTTCTGTTTCAAGAACTGCCCCCCCCATGCATTATGGGACTTGCCAGTCACCTGAACACAGCTGGCTTTTCTCCTTTAGGCAGGTTTGTGTCTTGTAGTTTAAAAAGTCTCTGAGCCATTGAACCTTGTTAAGGATAAGTTCCTTGTTAAGGATAGGTTCCAAGGATAGGTTGTTAAGGATAGTTTGCTCTCTGTCGCTCTAAGCTGTCACAGAGCTGTATATGTGTAAATAGTTCACATTAGGAAGGCTGCAATGTGAACCGTCCATCATCCACACTTGTGTATGTTCCATTTTCCTTTTCTGTGTCCCTGTGGTCAGCAAACTTGTATTGCTGAGATTTCTGCATCTAGATTCATAAGGGATCTGGCCTGGAACTGACAGAATGACATGGCTCTAATAATTGAGTGACTTAGGTAGTATTCTCTATCCTTTTAATTTCTAGAAGTTTGTGGTTGACTGGCGTTCGTTTTTCTTTTAATGTTTGATGGAATTTGCAGGGAAGACCTGTGCTCAGAGGGCTTTCTTCATGAGAAACGCTGTTTTCCTTGAGATAGGGTCTCAGTATGTAGATTGGGCTGGCCTTAAACTCAGAGTTCCTCTTCTGCCTCCCAAGTCCCAAGATTAAAGGAGTTATGGGAGTTATTAAGGGAGTATGCCATCATATTTGGCATTTCATGAGAAACTTAATCTCTCATTACAAGTCTGTTGATTCTTAAAAATTTCTCACTTTTCAGTAAATTGCCCATTTCATCTGAGGTATATGATTTATTTGCTAAGTTATCTGTGGTACTGATACTGAAAGTGGACCACACATCAGGCATGTGCTCCAGCACTAAGCTATGGCCTGGGACCTCTTTCTTCTTCTTTTTTTTTTTTTTTTTTTTTTTTTTTTTTTTTTTGAGGTGGGATCTCACTAAGTTACCCAGGCTGGACTTGAACCTATTTTGTAGCCCAGGTTGACCTTGAACTTTTGATCCTCTTGCCTCAGCCTCCTGAGTACATGGGGTTCTAACATAGGCCTGCACAACCAGGCCTGGGATATAACTTACTTTGTATGACTGGTCCTCCTGGCTCTTCTTTCGCTTTTAATGTTAGTGATTTAGATTCATTCTCATTCTGTCTGTCTGTTGTCTGTCTGTCTGTCTCTCTCTCTCTCTCTGGCTAAAGGGTTTTTAGTTTAGATGATCTTTCCGAAAAACTGACTCTGGTTTTCTTGTTATCTGTTTTGTGCATCTATTATTCAAATATCAAGTCCTAGGTCAAGTTCAGGGTCATGGCAGACAGATGTGCTTTATGTCTTTCAGCACTCTCAGCCCATGGGAATGTCAACATTACTTCATGGGCCTATGCAGTGAGGGAGGAGAGCAGGGTGCTGGGAATATGGCAGGGGGTACAAGTAGACCCAACACAGGACAGGGGGTGACATTTAAACTGAAAGGAAGAGAAGAGAGAAGAAGGCAGAGGGGGAGCATATTGAGATAATTGGCAGGGGAAGGGCATTTAGAGAGACTTTTAGACAGCCTAGATCTCAGCCCCATGATGCAGATACAGAGGGAGAAGAAAGTAAGGTTAGTGAGGGGTGGGGCTGTGGGTGGCAGGGCTTTATGGTATGAATTTGTCTCAAGACCCCGTGATGATTCTAGAGCTTTCAACCACACCAGGAGTGAAGTCCATGATCCTTCCACTTGGATGGAAGGGCCTGTCCCATTTGGCACTGCTGACCTCTGATGCAGTCTCACTGTCTTCCAGCCACAGTGGTTCAAACTGTGCTCCCATGTACCAAGGAATACCAGGCTTAGCCCTCACCACTTAGCCTTCTCTTTGTGGGGATGCTGTATCCAGCCTGTGCCGCTCTACTCTGTGGTGTGCAGAGCTTACTGGGGTGTATGCAGAGGGCTCTGTGGGTACACTGTGTCTAATCTGTGCCCCTCTGCCCTGTGGTATGCAGAGCTGTGGTATGCAGATCTCTGTGAGTTTGAGGCCAGCCTGGCCTACACAGCAAGTTCCAGGCCAGCTGGGGCTATACTGCTATGGTGTATCCCAGAGGCTGCTGAGGAGTTAGCTGTAGCCCGCCAAGGCCAGCCTCCATGTTCAGAGGTCTAGGGATCTGTTGTGTGGGGGCGGGCAGCAGCTCCTAGATTCCCATCTAATTTTCCTTTGCCTCCTCCTCACCTGCTTTTCGTGGTTCCTCTGGAATCTTTCCCTGGTCTCTGGGCTGTGGAGGCCGCTTTGTTGCTACCATCCGGGATCTTCCTGATTTCCCATTGGATTCATGCCTTCCTCACCCAGTGTTCAGACAGCAGTGAGGTATATCTGATGATGAGTGAAGAGCCTGGCTTTGTGCTTTGGATCAATAAGAAGAATTGATTTTTGTTTACTCTGCTCAGGCAGGCAGAATCCTGGGAGAAGAGGGCGTGCGTGCCCACTCTCTGGCCACAGACTTATATAAGAGCTGCCTTGCAGATGCCGATCAGGTCAAGAGCTTGCATTTGTTTTTTAATGGAAAAAGTAAAAACGAAATGGCTTGGCACTTTTTGTTCTGATTACCAAATGGAGATGCTCACTGCCAGTTCCCACAGAAGGTTCCCACCCAGTGAGGATCTGGAATTTTTTTCTGAAGCAGAAATATCTTTCATCCCATGTATTGTATTGGGATGAAATAAAACAAGGAAGAATTAGAACTTTGCTTTTCTCCTTGTTACTTTCTGTTGCTGTGATAAAAACACTGACTAATCCAACTTGGGGAAGAAAGCATTTATTTTATCTTACATTTCCTAGGTCATAGTTTATCACAAAAGGGAAGTCAGAGCAGGAACTCAGAGCCAGATCTCCGGGGAGGAACGTGGAGGCAGGAGCTGAAGCTCAGACCTTGGCGAAATGCTGCTTACTGGCTTGTTCCTCTGGCTTGTGCTCTGCCTACTTTCCTTTACAACCCGGGACCACCAGCCCAGGGATGGTAACACCTACAGTGGGTATCTCCACAGGCCAGCTGAGGTTTCCTCTTCAAAGATGTCAAGCTGACAACTGAAGCTACTCAGTACAGCTTTTTTTGGTCTTTTTGAGACAAGGTCTCCCTGTAGTCTCTGCTGGCCTGGAACTCACTGCGTAGACCAGGCTGGCCTTGAGCTCACAGGGATCCACCTGCCTCTGCCTCCCAAGTGCTGGGATTAAAGGCGAGTGCCACTGTGCCCGGCCAGTGCAGTACAGCTTTTATAGGAAAAAAATTAAATAGGCAACAAAATAGGGACTGTTCAGATCTTGGTGGCTGGTGGCAAGGTGAAGCAGAAGCTTGGGAATCCCTGTTTTAAGCAGTTTATATTACTTTTTGTTGCTGTGATAAAACGCCATGACCAGCTGGGCGTGGTGGCACATGCTTTTAATCCCAGCACTCAGGAGGCAGAGACAGGTGGATCTCTGTGAGTTTGAGACCAACCTGGTCTACATAGTGAGTTCAGCACAACTTGGAAATTCTAATTTCTTGGGGGCATTGTCTCAATATCTGACAGTGGAGGGGAGGGGCGCAGGTGTCTCTAGACTATCTTCATCCCTCCAAGGATGGTTTCATAGCATATTTTGTTTCTTCCTATTTCTGTGCCTGTTTTTTAATTCGATCATCTTGTTTTATTTATACTTCCATACGAAGTTTTGTTTTTCCTGCATTGTAATATGGAAACAGTCTCACTACTTGATAAACTTCAAAACATATTTTAAGGACTGCATATTCCGTATTATGTATTTTCATTTTTGGTTTAACTACTGTTCCCTCAGCGTTGGACACATGGGTTATTGATTACCATTGGAATTAAGCCTTATAACTCCAATTGTGTAGCTAAAGATCAGGATGCTCAGAAAGTTGCCACTCACAAGGCCCCTCCCCAAGGTGGTACAAGCAGCAAACAGCTGCTGGGGAGAGGAGAGTCTGCCTTGGAACAGCCTGCAAGCTGTGCGGGGGCTCCCAGAGGCAGCTTTCCTGAGTCCTCACCCATGCTAGGGTGGGCTCTTGATGATGCAGCTGCATTTGAGTCACCCACACTCCTGTAAGTGACCCCCTCAGTCATGCTCTTGTAAGAATTACCACAGTAAAAGCATCAGTTCCCCAAGCTGCACTTGGGTGGAATCATTCCTTTGGTCTGTGGTGGGTCCCTTGTCTGGGATAAACAGACATTGGTTCTTGTCTGCCTGGGAAGAGCACAGCACCTCTCATCTCCAGCACCTTGGCTCCCTGGGGAGGGGTCCAAGGGTGAGGACCTGGTGACGTGGGGTGCAGAAGTATGCAGGGTTCCTGGAGCCACATAGCGCTGTGTCTGCTGCTCAGATGGGAAATACGTTCATTTTGCTGCATCTCTGCTGGTACTAAACTCTGCTGATTTTCAGAGCTTTGCTCTAATTGGCATTTTTAAGATATGATGAGAATAAGTGCTATTAAGTATTATATTTATTATTTTTATTTTATGTATATGAGTGTATTGCCTACATATATGTGAGTGCACCTGAGTCATCTCTTCAGCCCTCCTCCCCTTTTTTGGTCTTTGTGAGACAGGGTCTCCCTGTAACTCCAGCTGGAACTGGAACTCACTGTAGAGCAGGCTGGCTTTGAACTCATAGAGATCTGCCTGCCTCTGCCTCCAGAGTGCAGGGATTAAAGGCTTGAGTGATGCCATACCTGGCTACACCCCCCTTTAAAAAAAATTTTTTTTGAAAGTAAACTAAATCCAAAAAAAGGTATTTAACAAATAGGACTTTTTTAAAAAATCATTTATTTTTAAAATTTTTTAATAACTACATGATTAGAAGAAGCATTTCATTAAACATATTCAGTAACATACACCAGAGCAACAGTACATCTCTTTCACAAGTGGGTACAAGTTTCTAGGTTCACAGTTGAGTTAATACAGTTATACAATACTGAACTCAGTATAAGTCCTGTAACACATAAAATTGAATGAGTTTTTG